CTCCTAAGCAAGCATGGCTTCCGCATGGTGTTTGAATCAGACAAGGTTGAGCTAAGAAGGAGTAAAAGGTCTAGAACCACAAAGTCTTTTGGTCCAGACTTCTTGACTTATATGTTAGAGGGAGAACCTCGAATGTTCCATGAAGCTGTGACTTCACTTGAAAGTCCTTTATGGAAAGAAGCAATTAAGATTGAGATTGACTCCATCTTACGGAACCATACTTGGGAGTTGGTTGATCTACCCCCAGATAGTAAGGCCTTGGGGAGTAAGTGGATCTTTCGAAGAAAGATGAAAGTGGATTGGTCAATTGACAAATATAAAGCTCGGCTAGTTATCAAAGGATACAGACAGCGAGAAGGTCTGGATTACTTTGATACGTATTCACTTGTGACAAGGATTACATCCATTAACATGGTGATTGCAATAACAACTTTACGTGGTTTAGAAATACATCAGATGGATGTAAAGACAACTTTCTTAAATGGAGATTTAGATGAAGAAATCTACATGGAGCAACCCGATGGGTTTTCAGCTCCAGGAAAAAGTAAGAAAGTCTGTAAGCTTGTCAAGTCATTGTATGGTTTGAAGCAAGCTCCTAAACAATGGCATGAGAAGTTTGACAATGCTATATTGTTAAATGGGTTTCGAATCAATGAGTGTGATAAGTGCGTATATGTTAAAGACACTGACAAAGATTATGTCATTTTGTGTCTATACGTTGATGACATACTCATTGTTGGTAGCAATGATGAAATGATTAAAGCTACCAAAAGATTGTTAAACTCTAAGTTTGACATGAAGGATATGGGCCTTGCAGATGTCATTCTGGGTGATAAGATCACCAGAACATCTGGTGGTATTGTACTTTCTCAAGCTCATTATGTTAATAAGATACTTGAGAAATTTGGAAAGTCAGATACAAGTATGTTTAGGACACCGGTAGACTTAAGTCTATATTTGACCAAAAATAATGGTGAGTGTCTCTCAACTAGAATATTCTCGGGTCATTGGGAGTTTGATGTATCTGATAAGTTGTACAAGGTCGGATATTGCCTACGCTGTTAGTAGGCTGAGTAGATACACCAGTAATCCTAATGCTACTCATTGGAAGGGCATTATGCGGGTGTTGGGGTATATCCGTTACACCCTGGATTATGGGCTACATTATCCCAGATACCCAGCGGTACTAGAAGGGTATAGTGACGCAAATTGGATATCTGATATAAAAGATTCTAAATCCACTAGTGGTTATGTGTTTACCCTCGGAGGGGCAGCCGTGTCTTGGAAATCTGCCAAGAAAACGTGTATCTCGAGATCAACCATGGAATCTAAGTTTATTGCTTTAGATAAAGCAACTAAAGAAGCTGAATGGCTTCGCCAGTTTGTTGAGGATATTCCACATTGGCTGAAACCTGTGCCAGTTATCAGTATTCATTGCGATAGCCAATCAACGGTTGGTCAGGCACAGAGTAGTATGTATAATGGAAAGTCTAGACATATCTGTCGTAGACATAATTCCATACGACAACTACTCTCAAATGGAGTTGTCTCTCTAGACTATGTCAAGTTTAGAAGTCACTGAAGAGGTAAATCCTCTTGCCCATTCCTTTATACAGTGATGCCCTGTGGGGGTGGAAGGTTAAGCTAATGCTTTTAATGACCTTCGTGACGTGGTATAATGAAATACCGTATCTAGGTCACCTATGTGAGTGCGATGTGGGGCCGTTTCTTTAAGAATTGCCAAGGCCAAATTCTTTAAAAACACTCACAAAACCAAGCTAGTGTTGTAGGGCCATACCGGACACACCAGTGAGAACAAGAACAATGGTTGGACTAACTCCTGTGTAAGGTCTATTGTCTCGGTTTACATAAACGGCAGAACAGTTCAAGACATCACGTTCACTGGTCAGCCAGTAAATTCGATAGGCTTTCACTACGAAAGGTTCAAGGCCAACAGCTACCTTTTCTGATGTAGGGTTAGTCTATGTGCTCTCTCTCTTTCCGAGTCTTTGTTGATAAACGTTGAGCGTTTGCTGTATTCGGTCAATTTTTATTCATGTGGGGGATTGTTGGAGAAAAAATGGTTGAATAAGAAATTGCCTCATAAATGTGTATATAACTCACACATTTAAGGCTCATCAGTTTTACAAAATTGATTTGGCAGTTTTGCTAGCATTAGTTGCCAGCCTTGATGGCTAGAGGCTCATCCCCTCTCCTCCATGGTGTATAAAAGGAGGCCATATTCCTTGAAAAGAGATATAGAATTTTTCCTTGACATCCATACACTGTCAGTCTGCTTCTCCTATAATTTTCTTCCTGAGAGAGAGTGTTGTCGTTGTCCGTTCGCTAAGCTAATCAGAAGGTGCTTCTGTTGTAGCTGGTAAAAACCGTCGTATCCTGGGAAGTAGACGCCGACGTACCTCCAGCACCCAACGGTGAGGCGGCGAATCTATTTTAAGGAGACTGTGGTATCACACAGGCTTCAGTTTGCTTCCTTTAACCATTTTATATTTTATCTGTATTTTATTTAGCATGTTATTTTTCCTGAGATTGAATGTTTGTTTTGTTCATCTCATAATTTTGCAATATGCAATGTGAAATTATGTAATGTGAGTAGTTTTTCCCAACAGATCTTGCACTCTAGACATCATCCAATTTCACACAAATTCTTAGTATCCAAACACCAGGGATCTCTCACTTGGGTCTCCTCCAAAACAATCGACCTCCAACACCTCAAATTAGTGTTTGTCAAGGAAAATCAAGAAGAACACACTGACTTAAAAAGAATTGTTTCTTTGAAATGATCAATAAGTAATCCAAATCCCTCTCTTTTGTGTACACGGGAAAATTGAATTTAGAAATGAAAAAAAAATCTCTGAGTTTAACTTGGATCAAAAACAAAAAACACCAAGCATACACACAAAGCGTACAAACAAAGACACACAGAAGAGACACAGAAAGTAGAATCTCTTACAGCAATTTCAGACACCAAATCTTGAAATGGGTTTTCTCAAGTTCAAAAGAATCCATTCAAATCTTGAACTGGGTCACATCCAAATCAATCAAAAAGTCAAACAACGGTAAAAAAAAATGAATCACCTACGTAAGAATTCACCCAGCTAAGAACTTGACCTTTCTTCGGCCTTCTACATCTACAAGAATTCACCCAACGATAAAACCAAGAATTCACTACAACCTACACAAATAATTTTACTTGGATCAGTAATTGATTTGGGTCTAAAGAAGAAGACAAAGAGGAAAGAAACCCAAAGCATGAATGAAGCAACCATTGCTGCTGTTCATTTTCTGTGTAATCCAGACGACCAGGGGGACAATGGGCCGGATCCGGCGTCCGGTAGTCCCCACACTCACACAGTGAACTGGTGAAAGATGGGCTACGTCCTCAATTTGGTGTAAGATTTAAGTTATTCTCAATTTGATATCGTTTTGCTAAAATCATTGGAGGGCCAAAAACGATACTTTTTCACTAAATTTAAATTTGGTGATGAATCTGAGTACATGTTGCAGATGGTTTTAGAGCAACTCCAACGGTTCACAAAATTTTTCGTCAAATCTGAATAAAAAAAAAAATTTCTCTATTTGATATCGCCTGCTCCAAAGGAAAAATTTGGCATTTTATCAAACTACAGGTCAACCGGACGAGTGACTGGTCGGTCAACCGGTCAACGCAAACTGAGATTGTTCTTGAAACCTCAACTGGGAATGGTTTGTGATTGTTTGTGTTCAATTCCAAATGGGTGGGCTCTAAAACCATTGAAACTGAGCATTTTAGAGGCTGAAACGAGGATTTGAGTAATGGGTATGGTTTTAAAGGGTAGAATTTAGATTTGAAGAAGTGGGTAGTGGTGAAGAGGAGGATTGAAGGTGGAATGTGGGATGTGAGAGTCTGGGTTTATGGAAAACATTTTTGTGAAAGCTCTTTGGGGTTTTGAGATTTCTGATCAAGTGTTGAAAAATTTGGAACGAGTTGGACACGGACGGAGGAGAGAGAGAGAATGTGTGTGTTTGGGAGAAGAGAAAGGTGCTGTTGATAATTTCAACACACCTCACAAATTCTACATTGGTAGCAGGTTGAGTTGATTTCAACACACAGGGTACGCAACAAAATGGTAGATTGAGTTAATTTCCATTTCTACTGATATAATCTAAATAGAAAGTAGACCTACTTCACAAATTCAAAACACATCCCACCAGAATATCAGATGGTTATAGTACTCAACGGCATCAGAAAAATAGATGAACTCTTTGCTAACAGAGCAACTACCATGTTGCCGAAGCCTTTTCGGAGTCAATTTTGCATTAATTCAGAAAATGATTTGAACAACCAAATATATGAAGTGAATTACCATCCGGCAAAAAATGCGTTTTCACCCAAACACATCTTAATCAATGTCCAGAGCCCATCTCAATTTAAGCTCAAAATTAGTCAAAAGTCATGATTGCATAAACCAACACTGTTGTATTATTTTTGTGGGAATTGCTCAAGGAAAAGGACCACCGGGGGACATCGTCCGGTGGGCCCCACTTCCAGCATACACATAAAATGGTGAAATCTGGCCACTTCCTGAGTTTGGTAAAATTTTCAGACCATTCATTTTGATATCATTTTGATGAAACTGCTGGTTGGAGACCAAAAAAAAAAAAAAGTTATCTTCTTTTACCAAATTCAAATTTAGTGATGATTTTGTTTAACCGTTGAACCGTTAAGATGGTTTTAAGAATTCTAAATAATTTATTAAATTTTTTAGCAAATTTTTCGCGTGTATATTTATAAGAATCTCACGCGTGACAATTTTAATAAAGAAAAATGCTTGGAAATACTAAAAGGAGATCACTAAAGGGAGCACTAATGATGTGGCAGTGGACCCGTCCACTTTTTATACCTTGTTTTTATTTTTTTATTATTTTTTTTGTCATTTTCAATGTATTAATGTTATTAATAATGTATTTTTTAGTGGTCTAAATCATTATTGTTTAATAAAAGAATTGATAGAGGCTATAGCATTTTCCTTTTACAAGAAGCCCAGTTGATGCAGATAATCAGCAATCCCAAGTGTGACTGCCAAAGAGATGCACTATAAACATACCAAACCTATATGTTTGATTCTGCCAGAATCCACTACCCATATATATTCCTTGGAGTTCGAGAGCAAACCTCTCTAGGGTTTCGAATTGCGTAGAAGCTCCACTTTTGCACGTACATATAGCTTTAACCTTGGGGAATGTCAACTACCGATGGAATCCTGGAGGAGCTGCTCAACGTTGAGGTCGAGCTTCAAGATGTTCAGGGTCTCTCTCTCTCTCTCTCTCTCTCTCTCTCCATGTGTGTATATATGTTTAATTTGCTTTTTAGTCTCTGTTCATTCTCCGTATAAAACAGTGATAATTTTGAACATAAAAGACTTTCAATTTTTGTCCTTGAAGAAATGACACTGATTTCACTGTTAGTAATTTCAATCTGCTTTAAAATCTGAAACTTGGCCTGCTTATTACAAGTTTTAGTGGTTGAATTTGCGAACACGGTCTTTTATGTGAAGCTGTGATGTGGGTTTAATCATTAAAGCTGTGTTTGGTTGGATATTTGAGAACCGATTTGAAAAGGGAAAGGAAATTTCAAACACATTTTTCCTTTCTCTTTCCAAATCGTTTCCCAAATACTCTAACCAAACATAGTGTAAATGGTATATTGTTATCTACTTACAATTTTTGTGGCCCTTCAATGTATTTAACATAGTCTTTCAACTTTGGGATGATGAATATACTTGTGCCTTCATGTAAATAACTCTGATATGCTGTTGTTTTACCTTCTTTTGGTATGAACTTGCGGTAACTGTTTGCATGGTTGGAGAGAGTACTGATGAAAATTAAAAAAGAACTATTTTTTAAGTAATAATCTGATTTAAGCACGTACAACCTGGAACAAAAAAATTTGTGTTGCTAAAGATGTTATTCTATTCAATTATAAGTTCTCCTGCAAGAGAATTATCATAGTTATTTATTGTTCTCTGGATTCTAGAAGTGAATCATTATTTATCAAAATTGGCGATAAAAAAATTGTAGTTCAAAAGTAGAAGATTATCATAAAAATTCAATTGATATTTGCTTCTCTGGATTGTTGTCAATAGCTTTGCTAATTGCACCACCCCAAGTGAAAAAAAAAAAAAAAAAGAGGTGAAAACAGATGTTGAGCCATTATTGACTCAAAATCATATGAATTTACAGAACGTCAAATGTTTCTATCTAATTTTTCAATCACATAGCGTCTTGTCTTCATGTCTTTGTGTTCAGACCATATAAAGATATTACTTGATCGGCAAGAGAAATTGTATGAGAGACAATCTGAACTGAAGGCCCTGTTGGAAGACTGTGACGCGCCAGGAAGTCCTCGGAATGATGGCACTGCTGTTACTGTGGAGAATTGGTCAGGGCCATTTGAATGGGATTCTCAGGTTGATGATTTAAGATTCAACATTTTTGGCATTTCCAATTATCGTGCTAATCAGCGAGAGGTCAGTGCCATTTCAGGAGTTCGTCTAATATTCTTGTAATTCTACTTTTATTTTTTTGATGGCTTCTTGTAATTCTACTTAAACAATTCCTCATTGACAAATCTTGGTTCTGCATTTTTTCTTTGTGGAAGGGAGTCAGACCAACTTCTTACATTTTTTCTTTGTGCTTTAGTTTTATGGCATGCAGCCCTTTTTCTTGGTTTTTCTTTCTTTCCCTTGAGCCTTGTTGTTTCTTGCTGGAGAATGTCCATTCAGTTATAATTATATTTATTTTTTTTCACCCTTTTAATAAAGTTGCATTTCTTATCTTAAGATTAGAAAGAAAAAATATATCTAAGAGTCACAGGCAGGAATTAACAGTTGCCTTTGCAGTGTTATCTTTGTTTGTTTCAACTATATGTATTCTGTGCATTCTTTAGCAATTGCTAAAAAGCAGAAAGTGAAATTATGCATGAGTACTTAGTATCGGTAAAATCCTACCATTTGGTTGGATGAAACCCACGAAAAAGGTGTCTCTTGAAGTAGGATTACTTTGCGTGGGAGATCCTCTATTTTTAGAAGACTGAAGTTACGTTATTATCTAATTTTGAATGGTCATGTTTTTATGTGGTCTATAAATAAGGTTTAGATTTTTGTTTCTTCTCTTTTTCTCTTTTTGTGCAGTTGTGCATCTTTGTCTTTTTCTTTTTCTTTTGAATGGCTACAAATGTTCTAGATGTTTGTATCGGAATATATTTGACAGGAGAGGCATTTGATGTGGAAAGTGATGTTGATAAGTTGTAAGATCCAAATATAGTTACTATGTCTCGATAGCTAAACCATAGCCCAATATGTAGATATAATATATGCACTCTAAAATAGCCTCAATTCCAAGCATCCCCTGTAGAATTAATGAATTGCAAGTGGACCTTGTCATGTTAGAAGTGGTATGCTAGGACACTGGAGGTCATCAAAGTTAGAATTGAAAAACCCAGCCAACACTTCTCCTTAAAACCCAGGTATTAAAGAGAGGGAAATTGAAACCTTATAACTAGTACAGATAGGGCAACTCCAGGCCATGTGGGACACATTCCAACACACCCTCTTGGATCACAACATACAGTAGCCGGACAAATGGTACACCAGTCACAAGCTTAACCAAACTCTGATACCAAATCGAAAAACCTAGCCCACACTTCTCCTTAAAACTCAGGTATTAAGGAGAGGGAAACTGAAGCTTTATAACTAGCACAAATGGGGCAATTCCAGGTGATGTGGGACACATTCCAACAGTTACTGTATTTGTTTCACTCATGAATGTAGAGAAACAACATTTCCCCTGTTACCTTTTATGTGTCAAGTTTTTGTCCTGCTAGAAGTTCTACAGTAGGACATTCCGTGGTCTTCAAAGTTGGTATATTTGTTTTACTTTATGAATGTAGAGAAACAACATTTCCTCCATTACGTATTATGTGCCACCTTTGTTTTGCCTTCATTTTATGTTGTCATTTCCTTCATGGAAGAGATAATGGCTGATTATTATATGATCATGCTCAATTCATTGAAGAATGGGTTTGGTTCTCTTCTTTTTTTTTTTTGATGACCGGGTGTCTGGGCCAGTTTACGTGGATCGGGCAAAGCTCGATTAATCCCGGAATCCAAGCAAAGCGCCCCTTCCACGTGGATCGGGCAAATCTTGGGTAGAGCCTGCGGGCGTGGTTCTCTTCTATGGGACATCATCTGGAAAGGTTCTTTGGTCCTTTTGACCACTGACATCATTGCCTACTAACTTTTCTCAGTGATATTATCTTATTCAAAGATCACAAGAATTTCTTTGTTCTCATTTTTCTCTTTACCGGTATTACATTTTTGCATCATCTTCTGTTGTAATATCAGTGCATGTATATTGAATATTTGGGATCATTTGACGTGTATTGATTGTTTCAAAATTCTGTAGGTACATTATGTATACATATTTACTAATAATGCCCAATTATCACCAGATTGTAAATGCAATTATGAGTAGAAGAGATGTTTTGGTTATTATGGCTGCTGGTGGAGGGAAAAGTCTCTGCTACCAGCTTCCAGCTATTCTTCTGGATGGAGTTGCTCTTGTTGTCAGTCCTTTACTTTCTCTTATTCAGGATCAGGTGCTCTCAGATTTATATTAAATTTGCCTTTTTGAACCGTTGTACCAAATGAACCAGCCTTTTCTGACAACTGCAGTTCCTTCAGGTGATGGGGTTGGCTGCTTTGGGCATCCCTGCATTCAAGTTGACCTCAACAACTGCTAAAGAAGATGAAAAGTTCATATACAAAGCCCTTGAAAAAGGTGAAGGAGCACTTAAAATTTTGTATGTCACTCCGGAGAAGATATCAAAGAGCAAGAGGTTTATGTCAAAACTTGAGAAGTGCCATCATGCTGGTCGTCTGTCTCTAATTTCAATTGATGTATGTGCGAACATCTTTTTTGTGCTTTGGCCACATGTGACAGATTGTTGTGTGCCTAACTAATGGATCAATGGTAATATGTAGAAAACACCGTCTTCTGAGTTTTGTCATGGATTCTGGGTTACTTTGTTTCATTGTTATAATTTATCTGAACATAACTTTATGTTTTATCCCTTTATCATGATTTCATTTGTTAAGATAGTTCCACATAAAATTGCATCATTGGTTATGGTTAATTATTTGGTTACTTTGCAGGAAGCACATTGTTGCAGTCAGTGGGGCCATGATTTTCGTCCAGACTACAAGAATCTTAGTATCTTAAAGACTCAGTTTCCTAATGTTCCTATGGTTGCTTTGACTGTATGTTCTTTTACCTAAATGTTATTATACATGTTTCTAATTTATAGCAGCAGTTATCTCTCATTGTTTTTTGGGTGGTAATTATAAGTCTTATTCTTTGTTCATTTCCCAGGCAACAGCAACTAAGAAAGTCCAAGCAGATCTGATAGAGATGCTACACATTCCAAAATGTATTAAATTTGTTAGCACAGTGAACAGACCAAATCTTTATTATATGGTATTATTATTATGAAATTGTATTTCTATTCATACTAGTTTCTGATGAACGTTCTAACAGCTAGAACTACATCACTTACACTGCAGGTACGAGAAAAATCATCTGTTGGAAAGATGGTTATTGATGAAATTGCTGAATTTATACAAAGTTCATATCCAAATGAGGAATCTGGGATAGTTTTTGGCTTCTCAGGAAGAGTGTGAACAGGTGTGTGAAAGTTGGTTATTTCTGATCTTGAATCTCAATGGGGGTAAAGAATTTTGTACTTAATATATTGTGCTTTGAGATGTGATTCTTGGGATAGTATCTACTTCCTTGATTGAAGTTCAAGCTGGAAGTTCAATGTGGCACAAAGATAGTTATATTATAGTTTGTGTCTTCCACATTGTTCTATATTTACCTAGGAGCTAAAGTTCAATGCAGAGCTGTAATGATGTGTATTGTTTTCTTCACTTTGCGTTCTTTAATTGGCCACACATTAATGTTTTGGTAAAAACAATTAAAATTGTACATCTCTGAGTAATTTTGATAATGCATGTTGTTATTGACTTATTATAAATTTAATTATTATTTCTTATGCTCTGAAACAATGTAGGTTGCAAAGGAACTTCGTCAGAGAGGAATTTCAGCTGATTATTATCATGCAGATATGGATGTAAATGCTCGTGAGAAAGTTCATCAGCGGTAAACTCATTTTATTATGCCTTTATTGCTTGTGTTAATCCAATTGTGCCATTTCAGTCTATCCTATGGATGCCCTGCTGTGACTGATATATACCCCTTTTTATGCATTGGTAAGGAATAATATTTCTATTTGATTCCACTGAAACAGCCAAAATGTTTTAGTTTTTTAAGAAACTGAAATGAAACGCCAATGGAATACCAAAATTCTATTGTTTCCATTAAAACACAATAAAACCCAATGCAATATACTGAAACCATAAGTTGTGTCAACATGAATTTAGAATGTCATGAAAAGAAAATTAGTATTTTTGACTTCTTAATGGCTTTTAATATTTATGAATTATTTATCGCTTTTCGTGTAGGCTATGTAAACCTAAATTTTAACCACATTCTAGGCTAGGTGCTGTACCACTCCGTTCTTTTCCCACTGATACTGATCAATCATTTCATAACGTTGTTTGAATTTACAAAGCTGGTTTGCTACTTTTTGATAATTCATAGTTGGCAATCATTTATGATTATAGAAGGCTGAGTTATTTGTCATTATGTTAATCAAGGCATATTTGGCTTTTTGGAGACTCTTATACATGTTTTATGGAACAGGTGGAGCAATAGCAAGTTGCAAGTCATTGTTGGTACGGTATGTACAGATGGCATTTTCCTGCCAATAATTTTATAGAAATCCTGCCTATCATTTTGAAACATATACTTCTTCTACAGGTAGCATTTGGAATGGGAATCAACAAGCCAGATGGTTAGTATTTTACGTGTTCTATTCTTTTGATCTATTGCTTCTCATATGAAATGATACATCAATACATGAAAGCGACCCTAAAAATGTGTTTATTTCATTATTTTGATAAAGTTTCTAATGTGCATATGAATATTATTGCCCTGCTTATTCCAGATTTAAAATTTTATATACGTTTTAGTCAGGTTTGTCATCCATCACAGCCTAAGCAAGTCAATGGAGACATACTACCAGGTTTTCACCACCTCCTAGTAAGGTTACTATTATGCTCTCTGCCCTTCTTTAATTTTGTGTCATTTCAGGAAAGTGGCCGTGCTGGGCGAGATGGACTTCCTTCTGAATGCCTACTTTATTTTAGGCCTGGTGATGTCCCGAGGCAGGTAAAAGTTGGTTTGGAATCCACTTTTATGATATTTGTTTGCCCAGTATTAGTTCTGAAGCCGATACTTCTCTGAGCAGAGCTCGATGGTTTTCTATGAGAATTCTGGATTGCAAAATCTGTATGACATAGTACGGTACTGTCAGGTATTTTGTCCTTTCAAATCATAAATGCTTTCAGTAATCTTTGCATATTGTCAAATCATCTGGTAAATTTCATGCAATAGAAGAAGTATGTCTCACCTTTTCTAAAAGTATTTGCCAGGCAAATGGGCTCAAGTATCAGTGTGTGGTTAAAAGATTGATTTGACAGAATGATTTTGTCTGCTTACATCTGTAACCTCTTTCAAGATTTAATTTATTAGTCTTCTTCCTTTTTTGTCAAATTTTGTTTCCTAACCTTTGAGTAAGAATGCACGTGGTATTATTTGGCGTCTTTTTGGGCATCTGTATCCCCTCCTTTTAAAGGAGTTCCCGTGTTCTTGATCTCTAGGGATTGGGCCGCTGTTTGCCTTCCCTAGGGCTATGAATTTTATGTTTTTGTTTCGCTCTTTTTCTTTCTCTCTTTATATGAGGACTCCTTGTCCTCTTTCACATTTTTAATAAAATTTTGTTGTTGCTCAAAAAAAAAACAAAAGAAAAAAGAATGCACATGGTATTTAACTCAAAGGTATGTTGTTGGTTTGAACAATTGGAGGTAGAGCTCTAAAATTGATGCTTTTCATTAAACAAACCTGGGAGAACAACCATCTCATTTTCCTGTCTTGACATGGAAATTTCACTCTGAAAAAGATAATGCCAAAATCTGATTTACCTTGCAAGAATTTAAGGCTGTGTTTGGTTATGTTCTGAAATCATGATTCAGCAGCATCTCTCACGGATGATGTTTGGTAGGTGTTTTGTAATCACCTTTCGAAAACTCTGCAGAGCGCTCTGTCTCAGCCGCTGTTTTTAGGATTTTTTTTTTTGAAAATTTTGCCTGACGGGTCGTCCGACCGGTTGACCGGAATAGTGATTTTTTTTTTTGTTGCAATTTGTATGTTAATTTTTATATAATTGAAAAAAACATTTTCTGAATTTTTTATGTGCTTTAAAATAATTTTGAGTTGTATGTTTAGTTATGAGTTGTAAATTTTTGTATCAAATATCAAATGTCACATCAACAATTCCCCACTCAAATCAAAACTCTTTTCAAAACTATTTTTAAAATTCTTTACCAAACAAATTTTCTACACTCAAATCATAATTCCAAACCCCACAAACTCAAAATACAACTCATACTCTCAAATCATAATTACAAAACACAACCAAACGCAACCTAAGATTGCCCACATGAACTCTACTCTCTATTTATTTCTTTGAGATGCCATGTTGGTAAATGGAAATAAAGCCAAAATCCGCTCAAGCTGCAAGGCCTGTTTGTTCTCATCAGCTCAAATCAGTACTAGTTGGGTTTATGTGTTTCACTTATTGTTGAACAAGTTTAATCAGATTGACTATCATAATCATTTTTGTTTTTTATATATACCTAAATCGCTAAATCTACTTAGTAACACTTTCTCCAACCATGTCAACTATGAGACTAATCATCTTTTGTGAACATCATTCCTTGTAGGCAAACAAAACCTTGTGCACCCACTTATACGCCATACAACCAGTAGTTCCTATCAAGATTTGAGATAGTGCTTGACCTTGCATGTGCGGAGGCATTTGAAATCCACCCATATAAATTAGTATTATGCAATTGACAAATTCTTATAGTTGTCAGCTCAAAACTGATATTCTTTCTTGTTTGCAGTCTAAAAGAGAATGCCGTCGAAGTGCTTTCTTCCATCATTTTGCTGAGCCATTACAAGACTGCAATGGTACCATTTGTTTGTTTCAACCATGAATAATTATTTATCGTGTTTGTTTGTTTTATAAACTTGAGGAATGACAAAGTCAACTCTGTTTTTGTATTGGCTCAGGGATGTGCGACAACTGTTCGTTTTCAAGTGAGGCCAAGGAAATGGATGTCTCTGGTATAGCTATTTGACTCTAATAGATGACAGTTCATAAAAAATAAAAAAAATCTATGATTAGTTCTGTATTTATAATAAGAAGAAAATAAATGAGGCTTCTCTGTGCCTTCCATTTTTTGATTTTTTGATTTTTTGATCAGTAACAAGAGAAATATTATTAATTAGAGTAAAACAACATGAAGGAATTACAAATCAAACACATGCACACAGACACACACACACACAAAGGAATCAACTCTCAAAACAGAATGGTCTCAAATTGATTAGGTCCCTGAAATTCAACTCCTGCTCTATGTAATTCCAACTTGTTAATTCCATTTTTAATGCCCAAATACACAAAATACTTTCTAATTTCATGCATTGGTTTGGGCATTAGCAATTCTAAATGGCTTGTATGCTTATTGTGGGCATAATTTGCAGGACATGCAAAAGTTATGTTATCCTTGCTGCAAGATATGCAAGAGAATGATCAAAGAATAACAATGTTGCAATTGGTGGACAAGATGAAGGTTAAGCACAAGGATGCAGGTGAGCTCTATTACCTTGATGCATATGTTTAATTGGAATAGTCTATATTTGCAATTCCAATTCTAATTCTGCCAGAACTGAGTCAAAAACATAATTACTTTGTCCACACGGCACAAAAAGTGTGTTTTTTTTACTATTTTGGACTATATAATTGGCCTTCAAGTGGAGGGTGAAATTGAGGCAACTCATTTGGTATTATTGTCCTCAGTTTTTTTTCTCGTAAACAATTGTTGTATTTAAAAACCACTACACACTTCATGTCTCTTCTTCTTCAAGCAATTATTGAGACTCATACATGAACATCCATAATAGAGCAGCATTGACCTTTGTTGTTTTGACTCTTCAGGTCCAGAGATAAGGAGAGATGAATTAGAGCAACTTGTGATTCAGCTTATAGTGGATCGTGTTTTGGTAAGGAGCTCGACTCTTCAGACGTTGTATCCGTAGATGCTCATTCCATTATCGTTGTAAAAATGAGCTCATGTGTTGATGATGATTATAAATCAAATAAGACATGGAATTCAAATTTGTGAACTCTTACTTGATAAATGATGTGGGTATTTTAAATCAATTTGGAACTTTTTTTATCAACAAGAAAGAAATTTTATTAAAATATCACGACATCCACCAAAAAAAAAATAATCCAACAGGGGACAAGACATCCACCAAAAACACTAAAACACAACAAAATTACTACAAAATATCGCGTGCAACATACGACTCTCGAATCTCTAGAAATAGAAAGTAGAGTGTTATTCCCTCGAAAGGAGACTGAAACCCAAAATGAAGCCAATTAAACTATCTTATGCCATAGACTCAGTGAGATCATCAATCTTCTCTTCGAAGATTATAGATTCCTTTCCAACCATTTCAATCTATGAAAAGGAATTTATAAATGAAAAAGAGTACTTTCCTTTCATTTCCTTCTAATGTGTTTAGGTTTTGATGATCCTCTTGTCTCTTGGTTGATGCATTAAATGAAATATGGTAATGTTTTTATTTTTTATTAATATATTTTGGTTTATTACCTTCTGTTTTTTTCTGCAGAAAGAAGAATTTCAGCATACAGCTTATTCTACAAATTCTTATGTAACCATAGGACCTCTTGCAAAGCAAGTATTGCAAGGTATGAATTTGATTTTTCATGTTGATCCATCATACATAATAGCTGGAACTTGGTGAGAATGTATTTCTTTGCTTGTCTGGTATTCATACACGTTTTTTTGAAGTGGGGACACTATCTTAAATTGTCTTGCCAAGGACAATTCCTAGAATTTGTACTCTTATGGACAAGTTACACTGTTACTGATGTATTCATCTCTCCTCTCTTGCATCATTAAAGCCAATTTTCATGAAAAAGTGGTATTTTACTGGTTTACACCAGTGTATACATTGGAATATTGCAATTCTTTTGCAACTTTTTGTGTTTTAATTTCAATCGCATTATATACAGGAAAGAAGATTGTTAAGCTTGAGGTTTCTCGAGAACAGAAGAGTAAAGGTGGCATAACGAAGACTTCCAAATGTAGCCTGACGTCGTCTGGATTACAGTATAAGCTTGATGAGCTGCGAAAGGAACTTTCTTCTATTCATGGGGGAATATTTCCTCATTCGGTCTTGTCAACTCAACAGATCACCATGCTAAGTACTCAGAGACCAAAGACAATAGAAGAGGTGCGTCCCCCACACTTTGATCTTCCGGTTAAAGATTTCTTTAGTATTTGACTAGCTTCCTTATGATACTCTAGTTTATAAACTGCTACTGCAATCTGTGTAGCAATCTTAAAGAGGAATTCCACAAACAAAGAGTATCTATGGTTTATATTCACTACAACTAGAGTTTGTTGACAAGTTTCTGATTATATTTATAAAAAATTTGATTACTGTAAACAAAAAATTGTAAATAGTTTAAAAATGAGTTGTTTTCACTTGTTTTGAAAACAAGTTTTCATTCTTTCCTCCCCCCAATCCCTCCAGCCACCCCCCCATCACCTATCATAACATCCAACCACCCCCACCTCTGGCCACCACCCACTGCCCATCACCACATCCGGCCACCATCACAAGCAAACCTCCTCTGACCATTAGCACCGGGAAACCTCCTCCGGCCACCCACTTCCACTTATTTTCAAAACAAGTTTTTGAAACATGTATGTACCAAACATGTTTTGTGTTTTCATTTTTATTAAAAATAAAACATAAATATGTTTAATGTTTTCTGTATACAAAAAAACCTTAAATTTTACTAGACGACACCCTCATTGATTCATAAAGTGGCGCCTCATGTATGCAAAACACATGCCCACACATTCTACAGTTGCTCTTAAAGGGAGTCATGCCAAACTTTGATGTTAGAGTTGACCAATTTTGTTGATCCAATTGTTGTCATGGCTTGTCATGCGCGACCAATCGTAGTAGTTGCCCATCTAACTGATCACCCTAAACCAATAGACTTCTATTGTTTCTTGCAGTTGGAGAAGATGATTGGAAAGTTGAAGACGGAAAAGTATGGGAGTAGAATCCTTGAAGAAATTGGAAATTACGAGTCTAACCATCCGCCTGATAGTGATTTGGTGGATGAAGAAGGGCAAGACAGTGGAAACAGACCCATGAAGAGGCGGAAAATTAAAAAAGCTCTTGTTCTCATTGAGAGTAGTGAAGAAGAAGAAGCATGAAAGTTTTGAGAGATGTCTCTGTAAGTTCCTGCTTAGCATTCTTGTAGAGAAATGAAAATCTGTATACCTACCTATCTATGAACGATTAAAATCTGAAATTTTGTGGAAACAAGTTGGCGTACTGTTGGCGCTCTCTTTTCTCTCTTCTTCAGGTAATTACAAAAGAAGTCATGTGCTATTATGAAATATCATAAAAAGTAATGTTATGCAGATTATCAAATCTTGCAAACTTTTGTTACTTATTGATAAATACCTATCTTAAAAAAAATTCGTTGATTTGAGAACTACAGGCAATAAGGAATCCATCATCTGGAGATGATATAATTTACAATATCAAGAAATTGTTGAACCTATTTGAAGGTGAGATTTCATGTGAGAAGTTGTCAAGTTGGCTCCCAATATGAGATTGGTGTTGATATTAAAGTCTCACTATGTATGCCTGTGACTATGTGTCTTGAGCTGCATTATAAATATTCTTTTTATGATGACTCCACGGGTTAATTACACTTTGTTTCTCTTAATTATTATTATTAAATATCACCTTACTCTCGATTTTAAAGTCGTACATTTAGCCTCCTCAACTATCAAAATCGATTCATTTGCACCACTTTCAAAAGGTGGAGTTTGTACCCTTTTTAATAATTAAGGGGTCTTAATGTATGATTTTAAAATTGAGAAGGATAAAATGATATTTAGTAATAATGTGTAACTAACCCTAACTCCACACCTGCATGATCCACCCACAATGACTGAATTTGGACTTTGAAATCAAAGGTTTGAGGGTAACATTTGACTTAAGCATTTGTGGACTTGCATTGGTTTGAAGTATCAATTTTAACAGAATCCATGAATTCAGACCAGAAATTTAGGGAAAAGATTCCCAAGAATAGTGCATTTTTGACTGATATAGTTCATAGGGTCCAATTATGGTAAATTCCAACTAATAACCAACCACACATTTAGTGAATCTAAGCCAATAAAGAGCTTTGTACATGAATAAATAGCTTTGTAGAGTCTGAATTTAATTGTAAGAGAGTAATTGGAGATTTATCATTTTATGCATTCAACCAATTCTTGATATCCCCCCTGTGCCAAACAACATATATAAGAGAATTAAGAGGAGGTAGGTAACTATGACCATGCTTTGTTCATGTCCCTCATCTCCATGAATATATATGTTATAAAGTATTTCTTGTTAGTAATTTGGTTTGAAATAATAATATCTGCAATCAAATCCTAATTAACTTCATTCCTCCATCTGAAATGATTGCTACAGAGAAAGTTTAAGTGCACAGAAAAATTTCACATCCCACATGTTGGTTTCACATCAGTATCACACTCTCTGAAATTCTTCTTGTTCGTGCATTCATCAATTGACCAATTTTTTCATTATTAAAAAAATAATTGTTAAACACAACCCAATTATTTATAGTTTTTGTCCTCTTTGGTTTGATGATGATGACAATTGATAAACTAGCTTATGATACAATTTATTTTGCACTTGCATGGGGGAATCATCAGGAATATTTAATTGGTTGGAAATTTTTTAATTTAATTTTGTGCAATTTATTATTCCAGAGCATACTATGGCATTTACTCCCAAACAGTTTGCTGTTATTGTGGCTGCCTTGGGTGTATTGTCCTTCATTTTTTGTGTTGTCGCTGTGCAAAAGAAGGTATATCTATCAAACACTATAAATTGTTTGACAATTGCTAAAAAAAAATTATATTTTTTTTGAACTTTTTCTCTTTATTGCATTAGCTTTTTAGTAACAATTTCCAAAAAAAAAAAAAAAAAAAAAAAAACTATTGAAAAAGTAATTGCCAAACCCCAACTTGAAAGGCAATGCCAGCAAAAAAATTCACGCAACTTGTTTTGTCATACTCCATTTCTTTCATTTCTCCTGTTATTTTTTCCCCAAGTAATGGACATTTAAACTCTCTAAGCAATCAATGATCTAAACTTGAAATAAATTAGTTATTTTAATTTGGCTTATTGTTCTTGGGTTCTAAAGCCTCAAGCCGGAGAATCAATTCAAGGGAAAGATGTTATTATCTGCAAATATCCATCTGATCCGTCTATACCATTGGGATATCTCTCTGCTCTGTGTCTTGTGGCATCTACAACACTTGGTTATTTCTCACTTACTTATCCATACCAAGGAAAATCAGTTCCACAATCTGCTTTTAGCAACACTACGTTCAATATATTTCGTAATATTGCATTGTAAGTGAAAGATTGGTAAACAGAGAGAGAGAAAAGAGAGAGACTGAATGATTGATATATTCAATGTCTGTTGTTGTATTTGTAATATACAAGAGAATGAGCTCTCTCTCTTTATAGAGAGGAGAAGGAGACAATGGAGCACCGAAAGCATAAAGGCTACATTAAAACAATATAAAAGCTACTGTTAAAGCTGAAAGTGTGTAGTAGTGGGTGTTTACCCTTTACAGCTATAAATGCACTATAGTGTGATGTATATTATATATTAACAGCCCCCCGCAAACTCAAGGAGGGTAGGCATCGACCAAGTTGAGTTTGGAAACAAGATCACGGAAGCGCCCAGGAGGATGAGCCTTGGTAAAAATATCAGCAGGTTGATCGGCAGAAGCAATAGGGAGAAGATGAACAGTACCACGTGTAACATGCTGTCGAATGAAATGACAATCAATCTCAATATGTTTGGTGCGATCATGAAAAACATCATTGTGAGCAATTTGAATGGCACTCTGATTGTCACAACAAAGAGAGGTAGCGCTAGAAAAGGAAACACCCATATCAGTGAGGAGCCAACGAAGCTAGAGAAGTTCCTGAGTAGTATCAGCAAGAGCTCGGTATTCAGCTTCGGTGCTAGAACAGGCAGTGAGGGATTGTTTCTTGTTACGCCAAGTAAGAAGAGAATCCCCTAAGAAGAAACAGAATCCCGTGGTGGAGCGTCGATCCGTAAGATCCCCAGCCCAATCAGCATCAGAAAAGGCACGTTGTTCAAGAGAGGAGGAAGCAGAGTAGTGAAGGTCATGGAACGGAGTGCCTTTGAGGTATCGAAGGATGTGGAGTAAAGCAGTATAGTGGGGAGTGCGAAGAGCCGACATGTACTGACTAACAATGTGAACAGCATAGGCAATGTCAGGACGAGTCACTGTGAGATAGACAAGACTACCGACGAGCTGGCGATAAAGAGTAGCATCATTAAGGAGAGCCCCATCGAGAGGAGTGAGACGAATCTGAGGATCAACTGGAGTAGATGTAGTTTTGCAATCAGTAAGACCAGCACGAGCCAGAAGATCGGATGCATATTTGGCCAGAGATACATAAGAACTAGTAGAATCGTGAGAGACTTCAAGGCCTAAAAAGTAGTTAAGAGTACCAAGGTCCTTCATCTCAAACTGACGGTGAAGAAAACGTTTGAGGTGGAGAATACCAGCTGCATCATTACCAGTGATAATCATATCATCCACATACAGAAGGAGAAGAGTGGTACCATGAGGAGTAGTCCGTATAAAAAGAGCAGAGTCATAGGAGCTAGAGGTGAACCCGAAGTCATGAATGGTAGAACTGAACTTAGCAAACCAAGCGCAGGGTGCTTGCTTGAGGCCATAGATGGCACGCTATAGTTTGCAAACCTTATGAGGTGGAAAAGTGGACCCAGGTGGAGGTTGCATGTATACCTCCTCAAGAAGATTACCATTGAGGAAAGCATTTTTGACATCCATTTGAAAGAGCTCCCAGTGGTGAGCAGTAGCAATAGCCAGTAAACTGCGAACAGAGGTAAGCCGAGCAACAGGGGAGAAGGTTTCCTCATAATCAATCCCATATTCCTAGTTGAAACCCTTGACAACAAGACGAGCTTTGTAGCGTTCAATAGAGCCATCAGAATGAGCCTTGATTTTTTAAACCCATTTGCAGCCAATCGCAATTTTGCCAGGAGGAAGATCAACAAGATCCCAAGTATGAGTTTTGTCCAAAGCTTGAAGTTCATCAGTCATAGCTTGTTGCCAAAGAGGATTAGTACAAGCCTCACGATAGGAGGTAGGTTCATAAGTAGAAAAGGTAGCAGACCCAACAATATAATCACGAAGGTGGATAGGAGGTTGAGTTACCCAGTATGGTCGACCCGTAGGAGGATCGGTGGGAGGAAGAACCGATGGAGAAGGAGGTGGTGCAGGGAGAGGTGGACCTTCAGGGAGAGCAGTCTGATCGGGAGCAGGAGTGAGTAAGGGCGTCGCAATGAAGGAGGAACCTGTATCAAAATCATCAGAGAAGAGATCTATGGAAGGATTAGTAAACAGTATATTAGTGGAAAGTGCGGGTAAGTGAAAGGAGGATAGGGAGGAAAACATTTGGTGCTCCCAAAAAACGACATGGCGGGAGATACGAAGATGTTTAGAGAGAGGGTCCCAACAGCGAAAACCTTTATGTTCAATTCCATACCCAAGAAAGCAACAAAGACGAGAACGAGGTTCAAGCTTGGTGTGTTCATGAGATTGAAGGAGAACAAAGCAGGTGGAGCCAAAAACCCGAAGATTAGTATAGGGAGGGGGAGTGCCATGCAGACGTTCAAAAGGAGTTTGATTATGGATGACAGGGGTAGGAGCACAATTGATAGTGTAGATAGCAATGAGGGCAGCTTCCCCCCAAAATCTTTTAGGGCAGGAAGAAGATAGAAGGAGAGCGTGAGTAGTGTCAAGAATATGTCTATGTTTCCGTTCAGTACGCCCATTTTGCTGGGACGTGCCAGCACAGGAATGATGAGGCAATGTACCATGACTCTAAAGAAAAGAAAGAAAATCTGAATCCCGATATTCCATAGCATTGCCAGAGCGAAAAAGTTTGATGGATTTGGAAAATTGGGTGTGGATCATTTGGGTAAATCGATAATAAAGGGTTTTAAGTTTAGACCGAGTTTTCATAAGAAAAATCCAAGTAAACCGTGAAAAATCATCAATAAAAACAACAAAATAACGAGATCTCCCCATAGTAGTAGTAGGGGAGGGGCCCCAAATATCCGAATGTATAAGATCAAAAGGTGCACAGGAAACAGAAGTACTTTTATTGAATGATAAAGCAGGTTGTTTGGCAAGTTGACAGGGTATACAATCGAAAGTATCTGGAATTACATGACCCAATTGTCCACTAGAAACCAAAGACTTTAAGCGATTAACAGAAATATGCCATAAGCGACAATGCCAAAGATGAAAAGGAGATAATGAGGAAGCAGATGCAGGAGCAACGATCTGAGGAGAGTTAGGAATATGAAGGTGAATGAGCTCATAGAGACGTCCGTGCTTACGGTCGGTCCCAATAGTCTGCCCCGTCTGAGGGTCCTGCACCAAACAATGAGTAGCAAAAAAGGTGACATTTAGACCAAGTTCACACAATTGACCGATAGAGATAAGGTTTAAAGTGAGAGCAGGGATATGATAAACTTGAGGTAAAGATAAAGAAGATGTGAAAACAGTACCAATATGACGGACAGTCATGAGAGAACCATCAGCAGTTTGAATTGAGGGAATATGAGGAGATGAAGAGATGGAAGAAAATATAGTTGAACTGGAGGTCATATGATTACAACAGGTAGAGTCAAAATACCAAGAAGAGTTACCTGGAATCACAGACAAAACAGTATGAGGAGGTGTACCAGAAGGGGAAAGAAGGTGTTTGAACATGGACTCGACATCCGTTGGAGAAAAGAGAGGGGTAGACGGAGCAGGAGTCTCAGAAAAACCCTCAGCGGCAGCAGTAGCAGTAGCAGCAGCAGTGTGATGAGACTGATTCCCTGAACGATGAAAGCTCTCCCAGGAAGAACCATCGTGAGAAGAGTGGCTGTTGGAGGATGAGCGGGATGGATTACAAAAACAATTCTGTCGTAGATGCCCAGGACTAAGTTTGTTGCAGTATCAGCAGGTTCTGACGGGGCAATTGACCAGGAGATGTGTTGAAGGAATGCCCCGATTCTGACAGTAGAGGCAGGCAGTGGTTCGCTGGGTGAATGATGGCCGGTACGGAGGAGTGGCAAGAACAGAGTCCACATGATGAGTTTGGAGAGTACCAAGACGAGTCTCCTCTGACAGCAACTCAGAAATAGCTTCTTCCAGAGTGGGCAAGGGATGACGATGAAGAAGAGAGGCACGTATGGGCTCAAAAGATGAAGTGAGAGCCATGAGAAAGTGCACTAACCTTTGCTGATTACAATAAGCAGTAAATAAGACAGCATCTTCTCGGTGAGGCCAAGTCGGTTCGGAAAGAGCAAGTTGGTCCCAAACGGAGTACATTTGAGAAATGAAGTCATTGATGGACTGACTAGATTCTTAGCGCATCCGGTGAAGTTGGCTCTGAAGTTGATATTGATGAGCAAGACCAGTAGTCTGGTATCATTCTTTCAAAAAATCCCGGATGTCTTTTGCAAGAGTAGTGACAGAGTCAAGCTGAAAGCGACCAAACTAAAGACTGATGGAGGTAATAGAAGTATTTTGAAACCAGGTAATGATTTGGTAATTCTTACTGTCCCATTCTTCAAGGCGGTCTTCATATGTAGGAGTAGCAGGAGAAACAGTGGTTTCAGCAATGTCTTTCACCGGTTGGGTCATATCCCCGGTGATAATTCGCCAGAGCTTCTTTTCTTTGAGGAAGGAAGACATGGCTTGGGCCCATAGAACATAGTTAGAACCATTCAAAATAACGGAAATGAGATGGGAGGCATCATGACGATCCATAATAATAGTTGAGTATGGCTAAATTGATAGGAATAGACCTGTAGGAGCAAAATTAGGTAAAACAGAGTGTACCAATGAGTCTGGAAGGTCGAAAATAGCTAGGAAAGGTGGGCTGTGCAGAGATGATGTCAGCAGGATGGAAAATGATGTCAGCGGCGCACGTTAGCAGAGAGGGCGTGCGGCGTACAGTAGCAGAATGGCGCACGCAGGTGCACAATAGCGGAACGGCGCACGCGCGGCGCACGGTAGACGAATGGCGCACGTGGGTGCACTGTAGCAGGCGCGGCGCACGAAAGAGCAGAGTGGAAGGCGCGTGTGAGCGTGGCAACGGAAGCAGAGACGCGCCGAGCAAAAGGGCGGCGCGTGGGAGCGCGCGAGAGCGTTTCTGGTGACGGGCTTGGTGCCGTTGGAATCGTAAGGAGATTCTGAGCTGTTTGGTGTAGTTCCACTGTGTACGGGACTAAGCACCAAAATTGAAGAATGCCATAATTATATTACTGTGCTCTGATACCATGAAAGATTGGTAAACAGAGAGAGAGAAAAGAGAGAGACTGAATGATTGATATATTCAATGCCTGTTGTTGTATTTGTAATATACAAGAGAATGAGCTCTCTCTCTTTATAGAGAGGAGAAGGAGACAATGGAGCACCGAAAGCATAAAGGCTACATTAAAACAATATAAAAGCTACTGTTAAAGCTGAAAGTGTGTGGTAGTGGGTGTTTGCCCTTTACAGCTACAAATGCACTATAGTGTGATGTATATTATATATTAACAGTAAGAATATACTACGTACTCTGAACACTTTCTCTTACAAATTTTTATGTTAATGACACTAATGATCCCAAAGTATACGATTTGTTACACTTTAATCTCAATTTTTTTACTTTAATCCCAAAGTATGCGATTTATTGCATTTTAGTCCTTAAAGTTAGCATTGTTCAAAATAATAATGAGAAAATGGTAGTTTCGAAATTTTACTTGAAGTCTCAACAAAATCAAAAGGGCTAAATATACACAAGGTCCACAAAAGAATGCATTTTGGTCTCCAAAGTGTATGTTTTGTTTCATTTTGGTCTCCAAAATATGCGTTTTGTTCCATTTATTTTGTGTATAAGGTTTCAAAAATATTTATGTCTTCACTATTGATTTTGAACGATGCTGACACCAAATACTAAAGTGTACATGTCGTATACCTTGGGAATAAAGTACATCATATCGCATATTTGGGGAATTATAGATTAAATTTAATTAACCTCAAGTTTTTATTTATTATTCATGTATTTATTTATTATTTTATTTTTTTCATCACTCAGGGCCACATCAGGATTCGCAGTGTCGTTGATTCTGCACACAACAATCACAGGGCACTTTCTCATGATACGCAATGTTCATCATAATCTTGAAGCAGAATGCCCCATTGCCAAGAGTGGTATCCTTGGTGGCGCAGCCTTTGTATCTTTGGACTCTTCATTATTTTGGTTGATTGTGCCAATGCTAGTAACAAATGTCCGAGAAGATTATTTTGATGAGGCAAAAGAGGGTGATTGTAGTAAATCTGTCACAATTGGTTAGAATGTTGTGGGGATATATTTTCTGAGTACCAATACGTGGCATAGTGACGCCGACGTGTCAGCCGACGTGCCACGTGTCGTGGTAGTTATGCCGAGGTTATCATGGATAGGCCGAGGTTGACTCCAAAGATATCGGAATCCGAGATAAGCGGATAAGGGACAAGAGTCCTAGAGAAAAGAGAAGACTTCTGCTAAGATAAGGATAAAGCTCTTAGGGAGTTTATCTTTATCTCTTGAGAAATCCAAAGTAAGTACTAAATTGGAGTCCATAGAAGTCAGGCTTCTAGTAGGACTTAGATTGAGTAAACTATAAAAGAGAGGCACTCCCGTGGGTCTAAGGTACACAGTTTTATACTCAAGCTTGTGAGTTTAGCACTTGATTATCTTTGAGAGATATACTGACTTGATCGTCGGAGTGCCCCCGGGTGGAAGAGCCACCGCCGGAGCCTTTTCTTTCTGTTGCAGGTTCACTGAAGCCATCTATTCTGCCGGTGCTCTCCAGCTGATTACTAGGCGGGCAGTGTGGTCAGAAAATTACCCACACAATTTGGCGCCGTCTGTGGGAATCTTAGAAGAATAGATGGCTAGTGATAGACAGAGGGAAAACATTGGGGGCGACACTCCTGCTAGGAGTGGCAGACCAATTGATCTTGATGTTGAAGGAGACAACCACAATGCAGAAAATCATGACCAGGGTCACGGAGAGAAAAACGTCGGCCAGGAGGGCGGTACTTCAAAGCGAACAGACCGAAGCAAGTATTATAACGAAGATAACTTTCAGGTATGGAGGGATAGGTGCCTACGGAGAGATGAGAAAGTAAAAGACTTGGCAAACAAGTTGGCAGACCTACAGTCAGTGGTCAACTTCATGATGCAAAACAATGTTATGCAGCCACCATACCCGCTGCAAGATACGCCGATGCCAGCAATTAATACCCAGAAGGGAGGAAGGAAAGCAATCCCCGAAGCCCCTCAGCACACCAATTGGAGAATCTGAGAATTTTTCCGGCGGCAATCTCTGTTCTTACATACATAGAGATGGCAAATGGCAATTGGACATTCTTGGCCCAAAGAACATCGGCATGTTCAAGGGCAGGCACTCTGCTTTGACACAACCCATGGAGAAAGATCGAAACGGGCCCACCACGATGCCGAAAGTAGTGTGCCAAAAAGATTGAAGTCCAGAGATAGCCGAGCTCCAGGTAGGAGTAAGGAAGACTTAAGGGATTACCTCAAAAGGAGGCAGCAGGATGTTGAAGCCGAGGTGACATCCCCAGTTAAGCCGAGAACACCATTCTCGGTGGAACTGGACAAATTTGAAGCACCAAAGAGATTCAGTATGCCAAGGTTCCAAATTTATGATGTTAAGTCAGATCCCAACTTTCATGTTGGACTATACCTGAACTTAATGGCATTATACAGTGGGAACGAGCCGTTGCTCTGCAAAGTATTTCCCTCATCCTTTGGGGAAATTGCATCTGATTGGTTCCATAAACTACCGAAGGGAAACGTAAAAACATGGGAAGGCCTGGCCGAGATGTTTGTGGCCAGGTTTGTAACAAACAAATTACAGCCCTTGAGGGACATGTCGTATACCTTGGGAATAAAGTACATCATATCGCATATTTGGGGAATTATAGATTAAATTTAATTAACCTTAAGTTTTTATTTATTATTCACGTATTTATTTATTATTTTATTTTTTTCATCACTCAGGGCCACATCAGGATTCGCAGTGTCGTTGATTCTGCACACAACAATCACAGGGCACTTTCTCATGATACGCAATGTTCATCATAATCTTGAAGCAGAATGCCCCATTGCCAAGAGTGGTATCCTTGGTGGCGCAGCCGGATCGAGAAGTACGCCAGAGCCGAGGAAGATACGTCGGGAAACAAAGAGATGAAGCAGGAGAAGGGAAACGGCTCGCCGAAGCGAGGCCGAGGGACCAACGGGCCGACCAAACAAGAAGCAGAATTAAAGGGTAAACAGGCAGTGACGACGGTGTTCCGAATCCCTATCCATAAAGTCCTGGACCAAATACGAAATCAACCCTATTTCAGGGCACCGGCAAGAGCACCAGGGAAATTTATGGGAAGAAACGTTGGTAGCCGCTGTGCTTACCATAATGAAGAAGGACAGCCAACTCAGGGTTGCAGAGCCTTAAAAGCACACTTAGAAGACCTAGTAAGGCAAGGCCATCTGAGGGACCTTGTTGATGAGGCCAGGACAAGAGAAGAACAGGCAAGATTGCCATAAGCACCAGCAGCACCACCTCCTCCAGCACAGCAACCACGGGCAGGAGGACCACGGGTGGTTAATGTAATCCACTCAAAGGTGAACGAAAGCGACATTCGGGGAGAAACCCAAAGAGTAAAACACCTGCAGCACGTGAACCAGGTTGGATACAAAAGACCTCGGCCTGAAGAATGTCAAGGACCGATGATAACTTTCACTGAAGCCGACCTGGAGTTGGTCCAACATCCGCATAATGATGCCTTAGTAGTATCCCTCCAGGTTGGGGAATGCCAAGTGAAACACATCCTGATAGATCAAGGCAGCTCTTGTGACATCATGTACGTCAGATGTTACAAGGAGCTGGGCCTTCACCCTGATGACCTGGAACAATCCAGCAGCCCTATGGTCGGCTTCAATGGAACGCCGACATGGCCACTGGGCGCAGCAAGCGTGGAAGTACAAGCTGGTACTAAAATGATCAAGACAGAATTTATGGTGATTGACACACCCTCACCATATAACATCATCTTGGGAAGACCATGGTTGAATGCAATGGCGGCAGCTCCCTCAACACTGCATCAACTACTATGGTTCCCAACAGAGCATGGGATTGAAGAAGTCAGAGGAGATCAACTGCAGGCAAAAAATTGCTCCTTGACAGCAATGAAGGACTACTTGCAGTATTCGAAAAGCAAAGAGGCAGAGATTGAGACGAGGACATGGAGGTCTAGAAGATGTCGGCAAGGAGCCAACCGAAAAGAGTGAAGAGACACTAAAGAAAATCCTTGTCCAGGAGGGCGACGAAGAACACTTCTTTCTTCTCAGCTCAGGCTTAGCGAAGAAAAGGAAAGAGAACTGAAAGATTTTTTTGAGAGCAACATTGAGTAGTTCGCCTGGACACCTTACGAGATGCCTTTGGGAATTGACCCCGAGGTCACTTGCCATAGACTGAATGTCGACAGGTCGGCAAAACCTGTGATTCAACGAGCCAGAAGACCGACGTTGATGCACGTCGAAGCAGTAGAAGAAGAAGTAGATAGACTTCTAGAGGCCAGGGCCATCCGAGAAGTTCACTACCCAACTTGGCTATCCAACACAGTAGTGGTGAAGAAGAAGAACGGCAAATGGGGGGTTTGTGTAGACTTTACCAGCCTCAACAAAGCCTGCCCCAAAGACAACTTTCCTTTGCCCAAGATTGACCAGCTCGTAGACGTTACTTCAGGGCATGAAATGATGAGTTTTTTGGATGCATACAGGAGGTACTACCAGATTGCCATGTACCCTCCAGACGAGGAGAAAACCGCGTTCATCACCCCTAAAGGCCTGTACTGTTACAAGGTAATGCCTTTTGGATTGAAAAACGCAGGAGCAACTTACCAAAGGTTAGTAACAAAGATGTTCAAGCACCTGATTGGCAAAACGGTAGAAGTCTACATCGATGACATGGTCGTGAAGACCAAGGAATCTAAGGGTCATCTTGCCGACCTAAAAGAGGTCTTTGATATACTCAAAACATATCGGCTCTGACTCAACGCATCAAAGTGCGCGTTTGGAGTTGGATCAGGTAAGTTTTTAGGGTATCTGGTAACGAGAAAGGGCATTGAGGCCAGCCCAGACCAAATCAAGGCCATCCTAGAGCTACAGAGCCCGACGTTGACAAAACAGGTTCAAATGCTTACTGGAAGGGCCGCAGCCGTAAACAGATTCATCAGCAGAAGCTCAGATAAATGCAGACCCTTCTTCAACTTGGTGAAAAAAGCCACAGACTTGCTGTGGACAGAAGAATGCGAAGCCGCTTTAACCGACCTAAAGAAGTACTTAACCACAACTCCGGTTCTTTCCAATCCAGAACCAGTGGAAGAACTGTTTTTGTACTTGGCAGTTTCAGAACACGCAGTAAGTGCAGTACTAATCCGAGAAGAAAAAGGGGAGCAAAAGGCAGTTTATTATGTTAGTAAAACCTTGGCCGATGCAGAAACAAGGTATCTACCATTGGAGAAATTAATGCTAGCTTTAGTAATGGCTTCAAAGAAGTTGAACCATTACTTTCAGGCGTACAAGATTGTGGTCCTAACAGAGCACCCACTGAAGTCCTTGTTGCAACAAGGAGAATTAACAGGAAGGATAGCAAAATGGGCAGTAGCCCTGGGCTAGTATGACCTGGAGTTTAGGCCAAGAACAGCAATTAAAAGCCAAGTTTTGGCCGACTTCGTGGCAGAATTCACACCCGAAACCATCGAACATCGGGCTCCGTTGAGCCAGGATGAGCATTGTCCCAGCAAGCAAAAAGAATCCCAGCCTAGGGCAAAAGAGCAAAGGAAGGAAAAACTCAGACCCTGCAGCATCTACATCGGCGATTCATTCAGACTGTTCATCGATGGAAGTTCGAACGGACAAGGAGCGGGGGCAGGGGTACTGCTGATATCTCCAGATGGAGAAATAATAGAACAGTCCATCCGTTGGGGGTTCAAGGCCTCAAACAATGAAGCGGAATACGAAGCATTAATTGCAGGGCTAAAACTGGCAGCAGCAGCAGAAGCAGATGAGGTAATAGTTTTTTGTGATTCACAACTTATTGTTAATCAGTCAACAAGTGAATTTGCAGCTAGGAACGAAAGAATGTCGGCATATGCAAAAGAGGTCATCAGGTTGGCAGCCCTATTTCAGAACTGCCGACTACTCCAAGTTAGCTGAGATGACAACACCCACGCCGACGCGTTGGCAAACCTGGCAAGTTCAATGCAGACTAGAAAAACAAGGACAATTATGATCGACTATATGTCGGGCCCGAGCATAGAACCAAAGAGCACAAAACATGAAGCAATGTGTGTGGACATGGGGCCAAGCTGGATGGATGCAATTGTTGCATTCCTGAAAGAAGGAAAGCTGCCAGAGGATCGTAAAGAAGCACACAAAGTCAGACTGAAATCGGCAAGATTC